TCCTGCCAAACAACCAGTCAGGAAAGAAAAGGAGCGGAGCCGTCCAATCGACCACAGTGAAGCAACGGCCCAGGGGGCCACAAGCCGTGAGGCCTCAACATGCTTCCCACTGGGGCAAGAGGCCCCTTTCATTTCTGGGTGGGAGCCACCAGCTGTCTGGAATCTCTGGAAACCCCATGGGGAGGAAACTGGAAACAGGCATGGAAAAGCCAAGATCCTAAAGCTCGTTCTGACACATCCTGGAAGGAATCTAGCTGTCCGCCAATGGAGTGGCTACTTACAAATCATGCCACATCGACAGCCCAGGCTTCATCCACCCGTGAGACAATAATTATGCCAAACTTCGCTTTCTAGCTTCCCATCCTGTAGTAACAGCAGGACCCACCATGGTGGGTGTACACGTGGATAAGGGCGGGGAGAAGTAAACTGCATCCCAGAAAACCTTGGTGTCAGGCTGGAATTCCTGTATTAGCCAAGGTGAGGAATAGAACTGCACGTGTGCTGGGATTCTCCTCAGGGTGTTCGACTGTTCGTCACATTGCCCTTGAAAACCAGAGTCTGACAAGAAAGGACTCTTGCAGGAAAAGAGAAGTTTAGTGATTTCCTAGCTACTAGCTTTTCTGTTTGCCTAAGGTCACTTGATTTTCTGGATGTATGGGAAGCTCAGAGAGAACTGTAGAACTTCTCTTAGCTTGCACATTTCTTCAACGGGTAAGCCAAATTCACACCCCCTGCCCGTCTGGGTTTTCTGAACAGGCTGAAAGTGACTTGTACATAATAGTTCACTCTATAAAAACAAAAGTGTCTGCTTGGATCTAGAGTTGGGAAAGATCATCTTAGGGGATGTGTAACTGTAAACGATCTATCTGGTCCCCACTGTTCTGGGTGGGCACAAGTCGTGTAAGACTGTGCTTGTGGGGCTGGATGAATCTGCTGTATGACTTCACTAAAGAAGGATTAAACATAGAAACCCAACCTCCTCATTCGTTGGAGAGTCATGATGCCCAGGAGGGAAAGTAAGGTGCAATCATTTTGCATTTGCATATCACTTGACCATGTACAAAACACATTCACTTCCTTTGTTTCATTTTATTAACAAATATGGGTCCTCCTTCACCAGAGCCCACGGAGGAGGGCATGACAGATTCCTGAGTGCTGGGGCTGTGGAGAATCCTAGCACTCATTCTCTGAGTCCAGAAAGTCTTAGAAACAATTTGCTCTCTGGTGTCTGCGATGAGTTGCCCAGAACCATTCTCGTCCTCGTGGGAGCTCGGCATAGAGGCAGCAGGGCTTTATGGATGAGGAGTGGGGCTCTTCAAAGACCTATACCTCTCGAGTTTCAAACCTAGACTCAATACTTGTTTGCTGTGTGATCCCAGCTTTGTGTCGGAACTTCTCTGAGCCTCAGCTATGATTTGGGGCAAGAATATCTTCCTTTGAGAGTTGTAAGGATTAGAGGAGATATGTATGTAACATGTCTTGTCCAGTGAGTGCCCTGCTCAGAATAGCCCCCTCAATACACAGCAGCTAGTCCCAGGTTTGGGGACCCCCAGAGTCAGTTTCTCCGTGTTACCGCACCGGCACATTCAGGGGCGGAGCGCATGGCCCCCATCTCCTTAGCTCTAACAAAAGACACCCCAATACTGCAGACCTGACCTCTGTGAGAGGTAGCAGGGTGGTGAAAGGGCTCTCTCATCCTCCCTTATTCCAGACTCTCCTGCAGCCCTCAGGACAGCCAGGCACCTCCAGAGCAGACCCAGACCTGTCCCCAGGGGCAGGTTTCTGGCTGTGGAGAGGGGCCCAGCCAGGGTCCCATCTTGCCCTGCCAGGAATCAGTACCTCTCACCGAACTCCAGACCAAACCCCGAGGCTCCTGGTAGTGCAGTCGGAGACAGACTTGGCTCCCCGGCGGGAGAGATGCTGTTTTCAGGGCCCAAGCTGGGCACTCTGTGGGACCTGGGGCAGAAGAGGCTCAGACGCACCCTTAGGGTTTTCTGGAAACCCGGGGACACCATCACGTTGGCCCTTGTTTGCTGGTGCAAGCCCAAGTGTAAAGGCAACACCAGCGGAGACTGGCAGCCATACCTCGGATGCCGCTGGACCCGCGCTCTCCACTTGGTTGCCTCCTTGTCTTCTCGCGGTGGCTGCTTCACACATGTGGGGGGTTTGCCTGGCTCCCGGAGGTCTTTAGGTTTCCAGGCCCTGTGTAGACACTCATGCCCATTGCACGGGTTCTTGGTTTCCCTAATGTCCTGAGAGGAGAAGGGGCCTAGTCCACCACAGGCAGGCCTCTGCCAGGCCCCTGACAGATCACCCCATCTCATTCCCACAGGTGCCCCCAGGATGGTGTTCTGAGTGTCTCCCTTTGCCATGGAGAAAACTGAGGCTCACGCAGTGATTGTTGAAAGTTTCAGAGCCCAAACTGGCAGACCTGAAAGGCCAGGCCCTTTGCATCACACCAGAGGACAGAGCTGTCACTTGTGGTTCTGGTGATGGCTGCCCAGGGTCGGAAGCCCCCTCAGGCTGATGGAACAGGGAAGGAGCCTGGTTCTCATGAAGCCTGGCCCCATAGCTGGGGCCCTATTCCCATGGCTTTTGAGAAATGAAGCCAGCCCGGGGCCCACACCTCTCACTCCCAGGCACCCTGACCTAGAGCTCTACTGTGCCCAAAACTGCCCAGTGAGAACCCCCCGGGGCTCCTGTGGGTGCTCTACCTCCTATCCTGTACCTCTTCCTCAAGCCCCCCAGCTCCCTTGTCTGATTGGCGGGGGCAGAACAACATCAATTACAGTGCTCAGAATTCTCTGTTGGCCCCTGAGACTTCTACCTGTTTATGCAGGTCAGGCACCACACCTGAGGGGCTCCTTAGAGAGGTTGCCAGAAAGCTCCACTCTGCTCCTCCTGCCTGCCCTCAGTCAGTCCCCAGGGCCACCCGAGCCAGTAAACATGGCAAGAGGAGTCACCTGCCCTCAATACCTGGCATCATCCGGAACTCAAACATCTCTCCCTCACCAGCCAAATAGACACTGAGACCTTCAAGCTTTGGGCTCCAACTGGGAGACCAGGTTATTCTACCCCTCCCGTGCGGTGACGCTCTGTCCCCAAGGAGCTACTGAGGCCTCATTGCACAAATGCCCTTGAATGGCTTTCTCCACTTCTCTTAGGGTCCTGAAATTTGGTGGTAATAAATTATGCTTCTTTATAATCCACCTTCTCCCAGAAACTGCCTGATGCCTAGTAGGCATTCAATACACTGGTTAATAAAATTATTTACTTACATATTTTTAAAATCCATGCAATACATGATCAAAAAAAAAAGGATACTAAGGCCCAGACTGTGGCCTTGAAATGCCATTTATCCCTGAAACTAATGAGGGTTTCTTGGAGAAGAGGCTGATTCCAGGCCTGGGCAGGAAATGTACAAGACGAACCTGGAACTTTTTCTATCGTGAAGCAAGGAAACCATGGAAGACTGCTACAGTCTACAGATCACTGCCACAGTCTACAGATCTGATGGCAATGTTGAATCAATGCTGGTTTGATGACACACCCAGCCTCGTTGAGGAGGTGCGTGTAGCAAGAGGTTCAGTGCTTCAGCTGTGATCACAGAGCTAGAAAGTGAATCCACACCCAGTGTCCTTTCCGCCCCTCCACATTGCTGCTCACCAAACAGGGGCCCCGGAACCATGCTTTAGGGGCAGCCTTGGGTAGACCTTGAGAACATGAGCTCTGTGTTGGGCTGCCTGAGTTCATATCCAGCCCCACCACTTGCTAGCTACATGATTTGGGGAAAATTATTTAATCTCTCTGTGCCTTAGTGTCCTTATCATCATCCTTCATAGCACCTATTTCATAGGGCTGTGTAAGGATTAAATAAAACACACGAAACAGGGTCTAGAACATGGGGAGTGCTCAATGGAAGTTGAGCGTTTATTATTGGGCTGTATACTGCACTAAGCATGGCTTTCCCTGGGTCTCTGAATGGTGATTCTGGGTGGGGAGAGAAATAGGGGTGTTGAGCGAAGAAAAGAGATATGATGGAACCCCAGAACCAGCTGCATTTCAAATGTTTGGAGCTGGTCGTGAAGGGAATAAAACAGCAAGAGTCATGACACACCTGTTAGCATTGTGATCTGCCTCTGCAGACCCATTTTCAGACACTGTCTCATTTTGGCCTCATAACAACCCTGTCTGGTGGATACTATTAGCCCCAATTTGGCAGTAGGGGAAATGGAAGCTCTGAGCATGTAGGTCCTGCCCAAGTTAGTTAGCAGGGTGGGAACTCCAGGTGACAGGCTGAGTTACTCTGGCCATCTGCAGAAGTGCAAGACTTCAGGGACCGCAGGTCCTGCGGGATGACCTATGTCAGTGGTTCTCAATCTTGAGCATGAATCAAAATCCCCTGGAGGGTCTTTTAAAACCGTAGAAGCCTGGGCCCACCCCCAGAGTTTCTGACGCCCGAAGTCAGATCTGGGGTTGAGCCAGCCGCGTGCCCTCTAACTGTGAGCAGCAGCGACATCTCGTGGCGAGGAGGGGGACGAACCTTGGGTTCCCCGCGAACCTCAGCCTCCGCGGTGCCCACCCGTCCAGGAACTGATGCTGGTCAGGGCAGCACCTCCCAGATGGATTCTAATAGGCCCAGTCCTTGCCTCGGAGCGTGCGGGCGCCTGCGTGCCTAATTGTACCCTAGGGCCTGGGAGACCTAATCTTGCTTCCTGGGGCGTCCAGCTTCATTTTAGAATACTTTTATCCTCATTTTTGGAATGAGTTCCTTCCCTGGTCTTTCCACCTGTGAACCAATACCTTGAAGTCTCGGCCACAGATGGGATGGCTGCGGAGTCAGCAGAGGGACTTCTCGGACGGAGTGTCTCACTTAACAATTGCTTTCAGCCCATAGGAGCATTTTATAATGGAGCTTGACATGAATCTTTGGCAGGATTGTGAGCGGGTGGGGAAGGGAGCCTGAAGGCCTGGGCAGTGCCGCCCCTGATTTCCTCTACTCCTGTAGTTGTTCACTTGGTAGACTGGGGTGTAGGCATCTCCGGGGTTGGGCAACTGTGGGGACAGAAAGTGACGCTGGGCCTGTTTCTGCAAGACCTGGATTCGGTTCTGCGCTCTGCCCCTGAGCTGTGACACGTCGGGCACCTCACTGCAGCCTTCTGAGATTGTTCATCCGGCAAAGGGGGAAGACGAAATCAGCCGTTTAGGCGGAGGCGCCCTGCGGAGTCCGGCACAGGGAGCGGGCGCTGGATGGACAGTCGGTAAGAGGTCAGCGAGTGGCGCCCCGAGGCGGGGTGGCCTGGGAGGGGGGACCGGGGAGGGGGCGGTGTTTGGGGCCGAGGAGAGGAAAGAACATTACCATTCCATTCGCCACCCAGCCCCCACCCCCGCCGCCGCCCCGCCCCCTCCACCCCCAAAGGCCGCCGCCTGGCGCCGGTGACTTCGCCCTGCCCTGGCCTCTGCTTTCTGCGGCAAAATGAGCGGCTGGTGCCCTTCCGAGGCTCCCTCCCCGTCTGAGTCCCGTGGAACTTCCGCTTCTAGCCGGGAGAAAAAATTAATAATTAATCGCCAGGTTAACGGGGACGGCTGGGGCGCGGAGGGAGCAGAGTGCTCCCTGCTCGGGGAAAGAGGGGCGCAGGCCGCCCTCCGCAGGTGTCCGGTCGCTCTGCGCTGTGCTCGGCCTCGGCCAGCTCCACCCCTCCCCTGGGACCCGGCTCCGAGCGCTCAGCCCGCCGGCATCCTTGGCTAGTTCCCCTCACTCGCCGAACCGCGCCTCCGTCGCCCTACGGCTCCCAGCCGGCAGGGGGCGCCCTCCTGGACCGGGCCCGGGGCGGGGTGACAGTGAGTGGGGAGGCGGTGCCTTCCCGGCAAAGCCTGAACCCTCCTGGCTGCGATGACCGGGCCGGGCGAGCCCTATCCCCCAGTAGCCCACCCTCCGCCCTGGACATGCCCCGTTTCCAAAAGGGGCCTGCGAGGTTATTCAGGGAGGCAAGGTCAGGCTCTTGCCCCGCCCTGTCCAATGGAACTTTCTGCAGTTAGGGAAATGTCCTATATCTGTGCTGTCAAATACAGCAGCTACTGAGCACTCTAGCTGTTCAAAATGTGCAACTGAGGAATTTTGTATTTCATTTTATGAATTTGAATTGAAATTGCCACATGTGGCTAGTAGCTTTGGTCATGGCCCATCACACCTTCATCAGCTCCCCCCACCCCGGGAATTGTTCTGGAAAAGATCAGAGAAATTAGCTGACGACGAGAAACATGTAATTAACCTCATTACCCTCCTCCACCAGGTTTGGGGCCTCATGGCAGAGGAACTGGTGCACAGGAATGGTAGTGGGTTTTGGAGCGGCAGAAGGCTCCCCAGCACGTCGAGGCTGTCCTGGGTGAAGTCCGCTCCGGAGGTTAAAGTCTTCTGGGTGCCACAAAAGCTCCTGGGGTGGGGGGTTGCATGGAAGTATTCTAGTGTCTCCCACCTCCAAATCCCAGGGAATCCTACTTTCTCTGATTCCCCCACAGTCCCGAAGTCAAGGAGGTCACTTACCAATGAATCTGGCCCCTGCCTGCCAGCAGGTCAAAGGTCACTGCTATGTCCAGCCAGGTTTCACTTGAACTGCAGTGGAGGTTGTGACGTGACCGTGCCAGGCAGGCTGAGCCCAGGGGAGAGGAGCTGCCGGATGCTGTGGACCCAGGGAGGAGGCCTTCAACAGCAAGCGGAGAGAGCAGCCCAGACCAACTGTCCCCACAGGCCAGGGCCAGGGTGCAGATCAGCCCACTCGATCCCTGCACCTTCCCCCAGGCTGGCTCTCTGAACCCCAGGGAGCGGCTGAGAGGGCACAGGGGGGTGAAAGGGATAGGCTGTGGGTCTGGAATTGTGCAGTCGTGGGTACTGGGAGAACAAGATTCCGACCCCAGTTGGCCACTGCGTGCCTCTGTGTAGCATATAATTTCTCTGTGTCTCAGTTCCCCCAGCTGGAGATGGCACTAATGGTAACTCTCTGGGTTGCCTTAAAGGGTTGCTGTGGGGTTCAAATCAGATAACAGGTGTTCATTTGTTAATGCGTTCATTCATTAAATGTTTATTAAGAACTTGCGTGCAACAGGGGGCGCCTGGGTGGCTCAGTCGGTTAAGCTTCTGCCTTCAGCTCAGGTCATGATCTCGGGGTCCTGGGATCAAGCCCTGCATCGGGCTCCCTGCTCAGTGGGGAGGCTGCTCCCCCCTGCTTGTGCTTTCCCTCTCTCTCTCTGACAAATAAATACATAAAATCTTAAAAAAAAAAAAAAAAGAACTTGCCTGGAGCAGGACAATCTGTCTTCTTGGTGGCAGCAGAAAGATCAAGAAGGACCCCCGTGGGAATGCCTGCCAGTCTTAAACACCAAACACTGGCAATTAACTGTGCAAACAGCCGCGGCACCAGCCTCTTCTGTGTGGGCAGAGGCCAGCTCAGGGGAGGAGGCAAAGGCATGACCCAGGAGGGAGCAGGGAGAAGTGTACTGCAAGGCGGGGCACAGAGGAAGAGAGGGGGCTGGCTCAGCCGGGTGGCCGCATCAGGCCCCAGGAGCCCACTGGTGGGCTGCTGGTTCAGACAGTGCCAGGCCCGGGTTCTCCCGGAAGCTGCCAGGGAAGGGTCCAGCAGGGTGGGACTTGGTATTCCCACATCTGCCTGGAGGCTCGGGGGCTGCTCAGCACTGTCTTCTCGGATTCAGGCCTCCATCTGCTCTTACTTCCTCACCCCCGGCTCTCTGTCTGTCTCTTTCTCCCAGCCTTTTCCCAGCCTTGCTGCTGAGTATTTGGAAATGGTGCCGCCTACAGAAGACCCCCCCCCCCCGCCCCAGGAGGCCCGTGCGGGAACCAACCTTACTCCTCATTTTGGGCTCAGGTTTCCCGGGGCCTTTCCCTCCGGCAGAGATTCCACCAAGAGAGCCTGTACCCGCCTCGCCTGATGGTGCCTTCCAGGCAGATGAGGGGCTGGGCCAGAGTGAGAAGGGAGGGTCTCTTGTTGGGGGCAGGTGCCTTGCCAGGGCTCCTGCGGGCAGTGGGTCGTGACCCAGGCTGTGTGGTCAAAATGGGCTGGAGCCACTAGGGCAGAAATAATCGAAGGGACAAGGCAAGCAAAGACGGTGGGGGGCAAACCCAGTTCCTGGCACAGAGGTAGCTAGCTAGCATGCTGTCCCTCTAACAGGGACCGATGCATCAAGCTCGATGCCCCAAAGTACAGCCTCAGTCTTGTCTTGTTACTTTTCTCTTGTCGGGCTGGGAACTTCCCAAACACATTAATCATGTTTCCTCTTCATCCTACACCCTCAACAGAAGAGGGTTGGCTAAGAGGTTTATCCCTTCGAGCCTGATCTGCCCTTACTGAGCCCCTGCCAGCCTGTGGGCCTGGCCTGCTGGGAGGGGAGCAGGCCACCAGGTACTCCCAGCCATCCTGAGTGGCCTGCTTAGCCAGTGTGGGCCCCAGTTCTACTGGTTGTCAAGCTGGGCCTCCTGGGCATACGGTGTTTGGAGAAACTCAAGGGCAATTTTCCAGACGACTTGGCAAACATCACTCTCCACCTCCTCATCACTTTCTGGGACGTGCATAGACTCAGAATCCTTCCCTCTGGATGTTCAGCTAAGACTGTTGGCACAGATGGAAGTCGATGGAGGTTCAGCAGCTGATGTGGGACCTGGTGAGGTCCTGCTGCCCGATTCTCCACTTACCTCCCTCCCCAGATGGTTCTAGGGTGAGGTCAGCTGGTCAGTGCTGTGGGCTGAGCACATGCTGCAGGCAGAGCTGGGTGCTCAGGGTGTGCTGGTCACCTTCTGTTTTGCCTGCCCATCACCCCTTGCCCCTTCTTCTGGCCAAAGCATTCTAATTCTGAACCACTCACTGGTAGTCTGTCAGATTCCTGCAGGTCCCATGGCCAGAAGTTAGCAGCTGGCCCAGGCCTGGCCAGTCAGAGACTTCACCCCACCCCCACCCTGGCCACAGCTATCGGTGCAGGGATCGGCATCAAGACTTTGGCCAGGGTGGAGGGGTACTCTCTGCTGGTAGGACATGGGAATCTGGGACTGCTGGTGGGCATCTTGCCACCGTCGGGAGGAGAGCCAAGGCAAGAAACAGAGAAAGACCAATCCCTTGAGCTCTGAGAGCTACCATGCCTGGAAATGTCCAGCTATGGAAGCATCTACATTTCCTTTTTTGCCTAAATCAATCTGAGTCGGTTTTCTGGTGCTTGGAACCCAGAGTGCTGGCTGAAATGGGGGGAGGATGGTGCAGGGAGAAATAAAGAGGGGAAGTGAAATGGTTTCTACTTTCAGAAAGGCTCCGGGCTGAGGGGAAATATGGTTTCCATTCTTGGGTATGTGAACACATGACCTTCCATTTTTTAAACCAGTGTGTGTGTGTGTGTGTGTGTGTGTGTGTGTGTGTGTGTGTGTGTGTGTATACATTCAGAAAAGTTCTTAATACTTTTTATTTCTCTACTGAGTAATACATAATGGAGAATTTACCAAAAAAAGAAAAAAAGGAAAGAAGGTCACTCATATCCCACGATTTGCTGCTGTTCGTTCTCAGTGCATTTAAAAATGGCAGTAGAGTCCTAATGTACATATCGCTTTGGTCTACTTTTCTTCCCGCTTACCAGACATGGCGATCTTCTTTAGGAAAATATAAAGGGAACTATTAGGACGTAAGGTTTGTGGCACAACCAAATTCACATGCATCTCACTATCTAACCTCCCATCTTGTTTCAGAAAGAGGCACAGGAGGCCATCTGTGGACAGAAAGTGGTGATTTTTCTTCACTGGGTCATCTTTGGAGAAAATCTGAGAAATGGAGCATTCATTAGTTCACTCGCCCAAGGAGCAAATGTTTCGGTGCCTCCCACGTGCCAGGCACTTAACTATGTGCCTAGGGCACGACTAGACATGGTCTTTCCTCTCGTGGGGCTTATAGGACCGTGGGGGAAACGCCATGCGCCAAATGCTCACAAAACACAGGTAAACCATGAGCTGTGACGGGCGCTTCAAGAACCTAACATAGGAGGGTTTGACCCACTCAGGAAGGGTTTCCTGAGAAAAATGGAGTTTGGGCTGGAATCTAAAGGACGAAAACGTGTTACCCAGGCCAAGAGAGGAAGGGGCGCATTTCGTGCATAGGAACAGGTGGATAACCTTGAACCAGGGCTATGGTGCGGGACTGTCTGAAGTCAGTGTGGCTGGTGTGGAGACAGGAAGAGCATGTGTCCTGTGACATGAGAGCAGGTGGCAGAGCCAAGTAGGAGCCAGGTGATGCAGGACTTCAGAAGTCACATTAATACGTTGTCTTTATCCTAAAGCTGAAGGGAAGACACTGAGTCTTCCCCAAGCTGGTGTGTGTGTGTGACACGACTAGGTCTGTGCTCTGTAAAGGTCATGTGACTGCATTGTGAGGAATGGTCCAGAATGGGCTCAGGTGCCCCTAGCAGGTTGATGGCTATTGCACTAGTTAAGAGGCGAAAGGTCAGGGTACCTTGCATCAGGGTAATGATGTAGGAAGTGGAGAAAAGGTGTGGAGGGATTAAAGAAATATTTAGGAGATAAAATCAGCAGAACTTGGTAACCAATGGAATATAAAGGGTATGAGAAAGGGAGTGTGTGTGGGCTTCCTCCTGGCTTGCTCAGCCAGGTGGGGGAGTTGGCACACACGGAGCTGGGAACCAGTATGAGGAGAAGATTAAGCGTTCAGTCTTAGACACACTGAGTTGGAGGAACCTTTAAGACATTCAAAAAGAGATGTTAGGTAGGCCGTTGGATGTCTCAGTCAGGAGCTCGGAGATAATATCTGTGAGTCGTTTGCAAATTGTGTGCACTGACCCCTGAGATGACCAGCTGGTGTGGGTTCTGGTCCCAGCTTCACTGATCAAATCCCTGCCTGCCCCTGGGACTCTGTCCTCAGTGTTCGATCTGGGATGGACCAAAGCTTCGTCCAACTATAACATTCTCTGAATCCGTGGGCATATGAGGATGAAGCACTGCCCAAACATCCCTGAATTTTCCCTCCCCCCGCCCCCACCACCAAACAAAACCAGGGAAAGAAGTGTTCCAATTTGGGGAGTGTTCCTGGCTCTCTTAGACTGGCCATTGGGAAGTTCTCATTGTGACCTTGGCTGTCCCTTCCCTGGTCAGATCGAAGACCATCCTGAGCATCCTGGATTCCTCTTCTTGAGTGGGAAGCCCCTCATCCTTGTTTGAACGCAAGAGTGAACTACATAAGCTGCTGGTACACAGTGAGACAGATTCTCTGATGAAGTTTAAGGTCAAAGGTGTGAACTGTGGAACAAGGATGTTTCTTGCCACAGACCCTCCAGGGCTCTTCCCCCAAGGTTTTCCTCTTCTTCTCTGCCCCCAGACTGGTCTCTCCTGAACTTTCTGCTCTCTGTACTCTTTCCAGAAATGTGTTGCTGGGTTTCCATGTGTTTGCTAGTTTCACAAATGACCCAGTTCCTGATGATGTCCCAGGTTCTGTTGCCCTTTCTTGGCCAGAATAACCCATGGAAGAGTGTCTTCCTGGAACTGCCTGCCGCCCAACTCTCTCTCCTGGGTGCTGGCCAAGGGCCACGAACCGTTCATTCAGGGCTCACTCGTAATGTCTATTATGTGCTTAGACACTGGGGATATAAAATGAGCGAACGAGCCCCCTCCTGGCCCTGGAGACACCTTCTTTTTAATTGTTTTGAAGTATGGTCTGGCCGACTCGCCCCTAAATTTTATTACCAGCCTCTTCGCCGTGGTAAAGCCTCTTTTTGGCTCACTCACTTAGCTTTTGAGTTTGTCCCAAAGATCACCAACACTAGTGCTTATCATTTACTGAGGGCTTCTCATGCATTAGTCTGGATGTCAAGCACTGCACCTTCTTTATCCCAGTTCATCCTGGAAAACAACAATCAGTGTCTCCCACGTTGCTCCTGATGACCTGAAAGAGACGAACTCACTTGCCTGGGTTCCAATAGCTGGGATCCGAGCCCAGATGTGGTCTGACGTGGAAATGTCGTTTCTCACCGGAGCACGTGGTGTCAGCCACAAAGTGCCAGTTTAATTTGACTGTAGCCTGAGGAGTGCGGGCGCCCTGCCTTACTTCTGCCCTCA